TTCTAGCCTGTAAGGGCACCTGCACTCATGAGTACACAATACATAGACACATGCACATAATTTAAAATAACTTTTTTTTAAAAAAAAAAGGGACACACCCCCTGGTCCAAAGGCCAAGGGATTATTTCAGAAAAGGAGAAAAAACGATTTTGAGAGCCAGAGGCAGTGGATGACTACAAGGTAACACTGTTTCTCGATGCAGCAAGGCTGCTGCCATAGGAACTCACAGTAGTTGTGACAGCATGCTAAAGGCCCATGATAGCCCGAGCCAGACCAAATCCCAGCATGGAGAGGGGAGTTTGGTGCAAAGTTCCACCCTAGTCAAGGAAGAACTGGCATTGTCAGATTCTGGGAGAGGGGAGATCAGTTTTCTCTAAAAGTGTAGCCCATGATGAGTCACTCAGGCTTCAGTGAAAGACTACACATCCGAGATTATTTGGGCAGCACACACTGGCCTTGATGTGGGGGAGAAGATACAAAGCTAGGTGCTAGAAAAAGGGGATGGATCTGGGAAGCATTGGAAAAGAAAGGTAATTATGACTGTACAAAATTCTCAAAGAACTAATAAGAAAGAAGGACTATAGATGGCAGAGCACTCGACAATGAAATCTAGATCCAAAGAAGGGTGCAAGTGCAGAAATTGAATTTGGTTGGTAGAGTGCTTGCCTAACATGCTCACAGGCCTGAGTTTGGTCCCTAGCACTGCATAAACAAGACATTGTGATGCATGCTTGTCTATAATCAGCACTTAAGAAATGGAAGCAGGAGGATCAAAAGTTTGAGGTCAACCTCAGCAATATCAAGTTCCAGGCCAATCTGGGATGCATGAGACCCTGTCACAATAAAACAGCAAAAAATACTACAATTGTTTACTTCTAGCAGGAAGGTGCTCCAATCTATAAGCCTGAGAATCTGATGAAAACTAAGAACTCTTTGCAAACCTGTCTGTGCCCTGCCTATATCACCTCAGCTCACCCCAGTGCATATTACAACTTTGGGAAAAGCTCAGAGCACCTCCTATCTCAGATTATCTGGACATAGTATTCTTTCTCCTTTATCTGCAGGGCATGTGGTGCTGTGGAATAATCCTTTTGTATACTGTGAGGATTTGTTGCTGTGAGCCAGGCAGTTGTGGCGCATACCTTTAATCCCAGCACCTGGGAGGCAGAGGTAGGTGGGTCTCTGTGAGTTCGAGGCCAGCCTGATTTACAAGAGCTAGTTCCAGCACAGGCTCTAAAGCTACAGAGAAACCTTGTCTCGAAAAATACCAAAAAAAGAAAAAAAAAAAAAAAGATTTGTTGCTGTGATTGTCTTAATAAAGAAACTTACTGGTCAAAAGCTAAACAGAGTTAAGTTAGGTGGGAGAGCCAAACTGAGAATGAGGGAAAGGAGAAAGGTCAGAGTCACTAGCAGAGACAGAGAAGCAAGATGGGTATACTATACTGAGAAAAGGTACCAATCTATGTACCTTATGTATCTATGCAGAGCATAGATAAAAAATATGGATTAATTTAAATGTAAGAGTTAAATAGTAACAAGCCTGAGCTATTGGCTGAGCATTTATAATTAATATTAAGTCTCTCTGGTTATATTAAGTTGGTTATTTGGGAGCCCACAGGCAAGATAAAAACTTCCATATACAATATGGTCTGAATTTCCCCCCATACTTAAAACTGCAGATATAGTACCAAGCACTGAGCATACTATTTTTTTATAGTTGCATACCTATGGTAGAGTTTTAATTTATAGGACTGGTGGCATAGCTCAGTGGTAGAACACTTGTCTACCATTCAAGAGACCGCAAGTTTGATCCTCAGTACCACAAAAAAAATAACATCTAATTTATAGAAATTAACAAGAATTAATAAAATATATAATAATTATAGCAATACACCAAATTATTGACTAAGAACACTGCACTACTGTACTTCAGTAGTGTGATAACTAAGATGACTTCTAATGAGAGGATAGCTTCTATAACCTGTGCACACTACAGAAAGGAAACAGCGTAGGCCAGCATGATTTTTCTTTTCTCTGTAGCTTTGGAGCCTGTCCTGAACTAGCTCTTGTAGACCAGGCTGGCCTCAAACTCACAGGGATTTTCCTGCCTCTGCCTCCCGAGTGCTGGGATTAAAGGCGTGCACTACCACTGTCTGGCCAGCATAATTTTTCATCATGCAACTAAGACAGTGTGCAATTCAAAACTTTAGAATTGCTTTGGGGATAGAGAGCTGCCTCAACAGTTAAGAGCACTTGTTGCCATTGCAGAGGACCTGAGTTCAATTCCTAGCTAACACCATTTGTAACTCCTGTTCCAGGGAGGATCTGGTATTCTCTTCTGACCTTCTCAGGCACTGCAGAAACATGATGCACATACAAATATGGATACACACACATAAATCTTTTTAAATATTTTCTTTTATAATATTTTATTATATTTCTTTATATAGAAGCACAAATTTGTAACATCTACAAGCAGTGAGGATGAGATTTGGTGGTAAATGCTCCATTTCTCTGCTCCTGAGGGGATAGTTCTGAGGTATGTATTATTGTAATGTTTCTCAGAATATTCCAACATGTAGAGATCACCTGAAGAACATAATAAGTTCTCAGCCCTAATTTTTATTTATTCTCTTTTTTGTTCTGCCTTCCAAGCCCCAATCCTGAAATTCACTTTGTCATTTAGTCAGACCTTGAATACAAGAATCCTTCTGCCTCAGCACTGAGTGCTGTGATTATAGGCCTGAGCCACAGCCTTCATCTACATTTCATCTTCTGTTTCTTTGTTTTTTGTTGCTATTGTTTGAGACAGAGGCTTGCTATATAGCCCTCTTTGGCTGGCCTAGAATTTACTCTGTACCTGGGCTGGCCTCAAATTTCCCATGATCCTCCTGTTCCTCCCAAATGCTAGCAAGCCACCATGCCCACTTCCTCCGATGCTGCTGCTACTCAAGGGCATTCTTGGAACTCTCAGAGTAGCATGGCTAGCTGAAAGCACCAGTGAGATTCAGCCTCCACTACCCAAACACCCATTATTGGCTTTCTCCTCACTCCCTTATACTGCTTAGATTTCATCTTCTAAATAAACTATTTCCATCCAGACCTTATATCAGGCATTTTAGGGAGGCATCCAAATTGTACAAACTGTCTTAGGAAAATGCACATACAGAGTTTTGCTTAGATGGTTAAATAACACAGAACTTCTCCAAAAGAAGCTTCCCCGCTTCCCCGTCCCTTCTCTTTTGGGATAAGATCTTAAGTAGCCCAGACTGGTTTCAAAAAAAAAAAAAAAAAAAAAAAAAGGATTTAGTAGTCAAAACAAATTAGAAAAGTGATTTAATTCCAGCACTTGGGAGACAGAGGCACCGCATATTTCTGTGAGTTCAAAGCCAGCCTGGTCTACATAGTGAATTACAGGCCAGTGGGAGCTACATAAAGGAGTAAGGCTGAGATTTTAGGATGACCCTAAGTTTGAAATTAATGCAAAGACTATTGTCACTCATTCCTATTGTGCTTTCATGCTTTCTTCACACATGTGCTTTGGGTACCACTAATCCCTAGAACCCTTGGGTTTTTCCTTGCTGTGCTCACACAGAACTAAGCAAACTATCACTATAACTGGTTTCTCCTACGTTTTTCTCAATTCTATATGGTCCCCTATTTAGTACTTCTGGGATATTTTTTTTTTATTTTTAGATTTATTTTATGTGTATGTTTGTTCTGGCTGCATGTGTGTATATGCACCAAACTGATGCCAGGTGCCTGCGGAGGGATGAAGAAGATATCAGATCCACTATACTGGAATTACAGGTTGTTGTGAACCACAACATGGGTGCTTAAAACTAAAACCCAGTCATGTGCAAGAATAAGTGCTCTTAACTTCTCCAACCCCGTCTAAGCTTTTATATGTGTATTCCCAAACCCACTCTGATATCTGGTAATTTTAGATTTATTTATTTTTATTTTTTGAATATTAGTGTTTTGACTACAAGCACGTATGCGTATTACATGTATGCCTGATGCCCTAAGAGGCCAGAAGAGGGTAACAGATTCCCTGGAACTGGGATTACAAGTGGTTGTGAGCAGCACATTTCTAGCTGCTAGATCCGAACTCTGGTTCTTTAGAAGAGCAGTAGACGCTTAAACTTCTGAGCCATCTCTTCAACTCCTCTGATAACTTTAAACATGGTCTTATTTTGTGAAAATCAAAAGAGCCTTCACTTCTTTTCTTTCTTTGTTTCTTTCTCTTTCTTTTTCCTTTTGTCTTTTGTTTTTGTTTTGTTTTGTTTTTAAGACAGGGTTTCGGGACTGGCGAGATGGCTCAGAGGTTAAGAACACTGATGTTCTTCTAGAGTTCCTGTGCTCAATTCCCAGTAACCACATGGTGGCTCACAGCCATCTGTAATGAGACCTGGTGCCCCCTTCTGGTGTGCAGGCATACATGGAAGGAATGTTGTATACATAATAAATAAATCTTAAAAAAAAAAAAGACAGGGTTTCTCTGTGTAGTTTTGACTCTCTTAGAACTCACTCTATAGACCAGGCTAGCCTCAGACTCACTGAGATCTGCCTGCCTCTGCCTCCCAAGTGCTGGGATTAAAGATGTGCGCCACCACTGCCCAGCTGAACCTTCACTTTCTTAACAATCCATTTTCCTTTCCTAGTGGTTCCTAACTTCTAATTGGCTACACAAAAAGATAACGAATACCAGTGTTACCAACATTTATTTCCTAATCAGTGTATAATAGCTTCTCAGCTTTATACACATGTGGGCCAGCCTGTGGTTTTACACTTGAGAATTTATCTCATGTAATACTGAATGATGTATCTTTGTTTATACCTGATGAATGTGGTTTTCTGGGTGTGGGTATGAAAGCAATCGAAGCTCATGAATGGTCTTAAAGTCTGAACAATTAATGCTTGATATTTAGCTCTAACTGGTCTTTGTTTATCATCAGTTTCAGTTTTCATCAGCCTTCAAATATCAGAGGAAGAATGAGTTCATTTCCTTGAAGTTTATTGACTGTTACCAGTGGCAGAGAAAATTCCATAAAAGAGCAGATTCCATATGGAACAACATGATGGAACTCTGAGTTGGCGAGGAGGGATGCTTTGGAGTGGAAAGGCAATGACTCCCACCCTTCACCCTCTATTGCCACAAGGACACTGGAGTAACAACAGTTGGGAAATCCTGTCCAGCATTCCCTCTCAAACTGGAACCAAAGAGGAGAAATAATATGAATTAGAGGAGGAAACACTTCACAGCTCCTCTGTCTCTCCATCCAAAGGGATACCAATATCCACGCTGTAGTCTACAGGTTCCCCAGAGCTCAACCAGGGAATAGGTGTTCGATTGAAAGAAGGCCTGTTGGAGAGGTTCTGGTTGTAGAGGACCAGGGGTTCATTCAGCAGAGGCCCCAGGTCAAACTTGGGCATCTGGAAGGTCATGCGTTTGGAGGCCTTCTCATATCCACCATAGGGCATTGCTGTCCTGAGAGGGGGACATGTTACATAATTAAGAATCAGAATAAAAGAAACAGTACTTTTTCTGTGAGCTATTACTCTGTTTTAAGGGACAAGAGTCTACAAACTGTAGCTAGAGATTGCTTCTCTGCTCCTGGTTCTTCTCAACACCCCATATCCCTGGTTTGCTTATCCCTCCAAAGTTAGTGACAAATGGAGTCTAGTGGACTCTGCATGCTCTCACGGACAGTTGTGACACACACCATCATTTTAGAAAAAGTGGCCCCAAATACTGAAAACTCAATAGTATGAGACCATCTTAGATTATAATATTCTGCCCCCTTCAGCACTACGTTCAATGCAAAGGGATAGTGGGAGAACTGACTGGGAGGAATTAACAACCAAATGCAAAGGCACTTTTGTAGACCTCCCTCAGCCTGCTCTCACACAGATCTTCTATCCATGGTCTACAATGCCCAATTCTAAAACAGTTACTTGGAAAGGGCATAGAGAAATAGAAGTACCCTGTAGGAAGAGTAATGAGATCGTCACCTTGAATTGTGTGGGAGCCAGAAGAAGCCTCCAACCACAAAATGTGGTAACCCCATTTTACCTTCAGAGAAACCAAAGCTCAAAAAAGCAGTGTCAAAACTGCTGACCAGTAAACTAGCACAGATCTTGCTTCCCAACAAATTTTTCCTCTACCACATTGCTACAAGAGGCAAAAGAGCAGAGATCTTCCACGAAGGTCCCATATCCCCTTAGTCTTCTGAAACATTTAGCTATAATCCCATACCAAGTAAAACACAGTAAATACCACACAGTGGAATATGTCTGATTTCTTCCTAATACCCTACCTGTTGAATGACTTATATTTGGGGAGTTCAGCTTTGGCCCCATATGCCAGTAGGTCAATGCCAAGTTCCACTTTTTGTTGAGGGTCAACCCCCATGGCCCGATCCCATGGGGAAATATAAGTCTTGAACACAGTGATATGTTTTCCTTCTCCACCTGCCTGGTCACCTGGAAGCCATGAGAGAGAATGTAAATCAAATAATAGCAGCTATTATTAGTAGTTAATGAAGGCTAACCCCATATCCCGCCACTAGGGAAGTTGCTGAGTCTAGAAGTCAGAGGTATAACATCCTGGGAATTGTATGTGGTTTATAACATAATGGTAGTCTTGGGTGAGATCTGTGACTGAATCTGAGAAGGCAGGGAAAAAAAAAACCTGTGGATGAAACAGACACATTGATATATCCTGGATACTTTCTGGGTCCAGGATGCCTCATTCTCCCTCTTCCCAGATCCCAAGTAGGCCCCATTCCTAGAGACATCTCTGCTCTAGGGATCAGATATTTGTGAGAATGCTTGCCTGTTCCTGGCTCTCCAGTCCCTACTATGCCAGGAGCTCCTCCTCTGCCAGCCTGGACCCCAGGACCACCTGCACCCCCAGCTCCAAAGCCAGAGCCCTGATGATGGTGGTGGTCAGAGCCATATTGTCCAGCAGAGCCACTGCCCCCAGCCTGGCCTCCTCCACTGCTGCCCTTGCCGTAGGAGAACCCCTGGCCCGCTGTCTCCAGCTGTCCTCCCACTGTCGGAAGGAACTTCTGGAAGTGATCCTGGAAGGAAAACACAAAGCAGGAGGAAGGTTAGCAATGGGTATGCAGAATGCACAAAGACAGAGGTACATATACACACATACAAGTAGGGGTGACTGGAGTCAATGACCAGCACGAAGATCTCAAATTGAGAGAAATTCTCTCCAATAACTGCATAGAAGATCATCAGCCTGAGGGAATTACTTTTCTCTAGAGGTTTCGTTCCCTAATTATACCCCAAGGGAAGGCAGCTAGTCTTCCACTCCCCTTTCCTTTCTTTACAAGCAAAGCAAACAAAGACAGCTCCTCAACAAGAAACTAGGAGGATAAGTTTCTAGGGAGAAGCCAATTTTAATTTGAAAAAAAAGCAAAAAGATTTCAGTCCCTTCCCCTCTCAGTGTGCCCAGCAGTGAGCACTCTCTTTCCCTACTCCTCCCTCCCTCCCCCTCTCAGTGTGCCCAGCAGTGAGCACTCTCTTTCCCTACTCCTCCCTCCCTATCCCTCTCCATTGCCTGTGGGACCAGAGCTTTTTCACAGTGAAACTGTAGCAGGTGAAGCAGGGGAGGGTGGCCAAAAGGGCAACACTAGTTTTGGTTCCAAAGCCTAAAAATAACCCCATAAACTCCTTGAGAAACCTACCTTACCAAGTAGTCCCATGCTCCACCCAGCTGTAACCAGACCCCTCCAGAGGAGGGTCTGCTAAAGTTAGATATGACCCACTCAGCACTTTGACTTTAATTCTGCATAAGGGCTAATGACAGACACTCCTGCCTTGGCTACATTCATGCAGGCATCTATTTCCTGTCCCCTGCCACCCAGAGAAGGTGGAGGAGGAAGAAAGAAAATGGAGCCAATCCCTTCCTCCTCAGCTGTAACGTCCTGTGCCTGGCCTTTCTCCAATCCCTTCTTCTCTTTCTTTGGAGAAGCCTGACTAGAAGATGTGTGGTCTTAATGAAAGAGGGTTTAGTCCTCTCTTTGGCACCCTTAAAGAAGAGATTGGACTTTAAAAAAAAAAGGTTTATTCAGCATGAAGACGGCTATAAAAGCTCATTAAGCTCTTCTAAGATTGCCAAGTTTAACGAACTGCAGACTACCACTTACATCTCGTGTCTTTTTTCTTTTCTTTTTCTTTCTTTCTTGCTTTTTTTTTTCCGAGACAGGGTTTCTCGGTAACCTGGCTGTCCTGGAACTGGCTCTGTAGACCAGGTTGACCTTGAACTCACAGAGATCTGCCTGCCTCTGCCTCCCGAGTGCTGGGCAGACTACCACTTAAATTTCATGTTTGGGTATAGAACAATATTTTTAGTATAAATATGCCCTATTTGTTTAATGGAACATGTTTACATTAAGAAAGGATTTGTTGTGTGTTTAAATTTAAAATATAACACACTTTTAATCTCAGTACTCAGGAGACAGAGGCAGGCAGAGCTCTGGGAGTCTAAGGCCAGCCTGGTCTACATAGTTCCAGGCTGACCAGATTTACATAGTTAGCGTCTATCTAAAAAAAAAATAATAACAATAATAAACCAGCTTATTTATTATTCAAATCTAAAGTTGTACATGTTACAGGTAACATATTTACAGAAACTTGTCTCATACTCATTAGTAATCCTCCTCCCTAAGTTTCCTCAGTGACCCAGTTCATTGTATAAGCCTGGAGGTCAAATTTAACTAGGTACTCTCTTTGGATTTTTGTTGGCTTGCTGTTTGCTTTGGGGGACACTGGAAATGAAACCTAGGATCTCGTGCATTCTAAGCACCTGCTTTGCCACTCAGCCCCGAGATTCTATAGTTTTTAATTCTTGTTTTATTTTTATATCCCCAATATTACAAAGAACATACTTTACTAAAAAATATTTATTGTATCTTAACTTCAAAATACAGGACCAGGTGTCCTATGCTTTATTTGGCAATGTTATTTTAACACTTCCCCTGCTGGGAAGGAATTTTCCTCCTCTGGGTGCAGTACTCTCAGCCTGCACTGGCTCTAGGATGGGCATTAAGCTTCAAAAATGGACTGCAACCCACACTAGAGCTGTTGGGAATGTAATCTATGTAGGGGCTTATTGAGCTTATCATTCTCACCAAGAGGAGGTTGGTGGTATTTGGGGAGCCTGGGGCCTGCTGAGAGGCTGTCGGGAAAGGCACGGGGCTGTGAGAGAGTGACTCATGTCCATACTCACCATAGAGCTGTCGGAGAAAACATCAGGGTGGTTCTCATAAATAAATTTCTCCACCCGCATCTGCCGCAGCTTGAACATCTTGGAGCCTCGGTTGGTAAGTAACGACAACTCCTCCAACATCACATCCCTTGGGACACTGATCTTCTTACCCAGGTTCAGGCCCGAGCTTTCCCGTCCACCTTGTCCAGAAGGTGGAGAAGAGGTGATAGAAAAAGGGAATTAGCCGGGCGGTGGTGGCGCATGCCTTTAATCCCAGCACTTGAGAGGCAGAGGGAGGCAGATCTCTGTGAGTTCAAGGATAGCCTGGAACAAGAGCTAGTCCCAGGACAGGCTCCAAAGCCACAGAGAAACCCTGTCTTGAAAGAAACCAATATATAAATAGATAGAAAAAGAAAGAGGGAATTAAGGCTATCTGGACTCAGTAGAACCCCACCCCACAACTAAGTGTATAATCAAAGAGATCATTTAGGGACAAGATGCTGTTATCTGACCAAGGTCTATCTAGCTTACAAGAAGTTTTCGTTTGTCTTATTTGTGTATATTTTAATTTTTTAAAGATTTATGTATGCTTTATGTGTATGAGTATTTTTTTTTCTGCATGTGTATTATGTGTGCCACATGTGACCTGGTGCCCACAGAGGTCAGAAGAAGGCTCAGATCCCCTGGAACTGGAGTTACTGATGGTTGGAAGCTACAATACGGGTACTGGGAACTGAACTTGGGTCCTCTTCTTCAGTTCCATATGGGATGTGTGTGTGTGTGTGTGTGTGTGTGTGTGTGTGTGTGTGAGACAGACAGAGAGAGAGAGAGAGAGAGAGAGAGAGAGAGAGAGATTGAGACAGGGTTTCACTATGTAACCTTGACAAGCCTGAAATTCACTATTAGACCAGGCTTGCCTTGAACTCACAAATCAGCCTGCCTCTGCCTCCTGAGTACTAGGATTAAAGGCGTGCACCACCATACACAGCACACGAGAACTTTTGATTTCCTGGTTTGGAGTTAGGGAGACTAGAAGGGAACAAGGGTTCGGAATACTAGAGTAGAGAGGTAAAGAGGGCCAAAGGGGGCATGGCTGGGAATGGAAGAGAACAAGTATAAGGGGTTCTCATGGGCAGCTCTGCCAGTGGAGAAATTATAGCATGGGGAGGGGAAGCTGAGAGGCCAACACCATGTGCAGCTGCCCATCTCTAAATACAGATCCTTCTGTTCTTTTCTTTCCTTCCTTTTCGATTCAGTGAACTCTGGTTCCAGAGGTATCAGATCTTCACATTTGGTAACTCATGTACATCCCTGGGGAGTATGCCTGTGCAGTTTCCTATTTTAAATGCTTACACAAGTTCTCTAGCACTTAGAAAAAAACGAAGAAGTTAACCATTTGGTGAGGCCTAGCTTTTGTCCTCACATATACCTCACTGAGCATGGGTCCTGTGGTCCTGGGCCTGCCTGAGCAGTGTAACAGGGTAGTGTTTCAGAGTAACCAGTGGAAAAGAGTTCTTCCTGCCTCTTTCTCCTTGCCCTTCTTACTTATCGCATCACTTCTATCTCCCACGCCCCCCCATGGCTGGAATTCCTCTTATATTTTCACTCGGACTTATAACCAGTCTTATGTAATTTCTGGGACTCCTGAATCAGGGGTATGCTTAAAAGTCCTGCATTAGGGAGCTACAAGCATGCCCTACCTCCAGTGAGTTCCATGATCAGCTTGCTGGATTTCCTCCTCTTGTTCGGGGCCGGGGTTCCTGAGAGCGGCATGGTGGAGATGGATTTGACCTGGAAGGAATGGGAAGCAGGCTTGAAGGAAAGACAGAATGGGAAGGTGAGTGTGGAGAGCATGCTCACTACAGCCAAGCAGTGCTTCTCTCTTTCTGCCTTTCTCTTTCTTTCTCTCTTTCTTTCTTTCTTTCTTTCTTTCTTCCTTCCTTCCTTCCTTCCTTCCTTCCTTCCTTCCTTCCTCCCTTTCCTTCTTTTTTTCTTCCTTCCTTTCCTTATTTTCTTCTTTCGTTCCCTTGCTTCCTTCTTTTTTTCCTTTCTTTCTTTCTTTCGATAGGATTTCTCTGTGTAGCCCGGGCTGTCCTGTGTCTTGGAACTTGCTCTGTAGACTAGGCTGGCCTCAAACTCAGATATCCTCCTACCTCTGCCTCCCAAAATGGCATGTGCCACCACTTCCTGGCTTAGTACTCCTTAACTTGGGGTTATGGGCAAAATTTCTTCCGACTGTGTGTGTGTTTCTCCAGCGCTGAGGATTGAACTCAAGGCTTCATGCATACCGCACAGGTTCTCTATCACTGGGCTATGCTGTCCACACTCAGGTTTTCACAGAAATATGTGTTCCCCCAAAAAGTAAAACTCCACTGCCTTGGGGCTTGTTTTCATTGGAATCAAAGCAGGAGGTAGAACTGTGCCCCTTTCCCTCCCTCTTATCAGCCTCTTGTGGCCATTTTCCATAGATCCTGTGTGGGGAAGCAGGAGCACAGCTGGGGCTGAGGGCAGTGTATAAAACAACAACCCTGGCAGAGCAATGCACCCAAGTTTCTTGGGCCTGGCATAAATTTAAGGTCCTTATTTGTATTTAGATATCAGCCTACAGCTATGGCTCCTGACTCTGGTCTCCTCCTCAGGCTTCCCTCAAAGTCCAAGGGGATAAAAAATGTTCTGCTGGCATTGAGGAGATTCAGCCAAAACATTCTCCATAGGAAGGAGAGGTTGTTGTTCTTCCAAGAGGCCAACTGGAACATGGTCTGAGAGGTCATGGGTGTGTTCCTTGCTCCTCAGGCACTCCTATCCCAAGCTGCAGACTGGAGAGTGAACTGAGGGCACTTGAGCACCGACAAAGTGTCGGTTCAGCAATAACATACATAGCAGTAGAGAATTGTGGGGGACAAGCTAGGAAAAGATAGGAACTTCATTCTCTTCTTAACAGTCACGCAGAGTTCTGTGGAGTTCTGTTTCATATGTACAACTACACTCTGCCAACCTAGAGGGGTCTCAGGCCACCCCTTCCCATCTCTCAGGTACCTCCCCACCCATCTAAATTCCTCCCAACTCCTTAGGTCCCTTTCTTTCCAACTCTGTGGCTCCAACTGGACAGCTGGGAGCTGAGCAGAGATGAGGAGCTAGGCCACTCCTCTGGGACAGAGACCCACAATTGCAGACAAGGAGGTCCGAAGAGTGGGCTCCAGCCCCTTCATGCCATACGTAGAGCTACAGACTTACCAGTCACTCAGTTGGTGGTCAGCTTGCCCTGGGGTCCAGCAGCTTGGGAGGCCTTGAGCTGCTGTGAGCAACTGGGGAACCTGAGCTGGGCAAGCGTAGGGGCAGCACCGGCAGTGGGGGAGGGAGGGTGGTTATTAATAGAGACGATGAGCACAGGCAGCTCAAATGGCACAGGGGGTACGGAGACCCTGGAACCAAGTTCCTGCCCTCCTTGCCCGATGTTCAGGAAAGGGGAAGGCCTACAAGAATCTCCCACCAGGTTGTCTGAGCCTGGGATCAGTCTGCTGAGGATTGCGCCTCCTTTGCACCTTGAGCCTTAAATCCAAAGATGCATTTCAGGAGGCAATTTAAGGCAGAGGCAGAGAGGAAGACAGTAAGTGGTGGGTAAGATAAAGTAGGTAAAGGAAACAAAATAAAACCAGAAAATGTGATTTGTGGGCCATTCGGGGCCATCGCAGGCCAGGGCCGGAGGGACCCATGGGTGTATTTGGGGTGTGAGGGATTAAAGTTCTAAGTTTGAAGACAGGATGGAAATTTTCACAGTGGAATTGCTTTTAGACTTCTTGAATAGGTGGTTTTTTTCTCTGAGGGTTAGATTTGGCAGGATGAGGAACCAATTTGGTCAAACCCAGTGCCGATGATGTGGTGAAGACCTGTCAGCCTCACTCTTTTCCTTTCTGCCCTCTTAGCACAGGGCTTCTCAACCTGTGGGTCGCAACCCTTCCGTAGGACCCACACATCAGATCTTCTACATACCAGATATTTACATTAGGATTCATAGCAGCAGCAAAACTATAGTTATGAAGTAGCGAGGAAAACAGCTTTATGGTTGAGCGTCACCGCAGAATGAGGAATAGTCTTAACGGGTGGCAGTGTCGGGAAGGTTGAGAACCACTGCCCCGGTAGCTGCAGGAATACCCTGGACACTGCCTCATCTTCTGTGCATGTTCTGAAGCCAGTTGCTTTTGTACCTCTTGCCTTAATAGCTACCCTAAGGAAATGACCCTTTTTTGGGGTGTGGGGGGGTTAACTTAGTAAACATATAATGGTGGTGCATGACTTTAACCCCAGTACTCAGTACTTTCTAAGTTTAAAGACAGCCAGGGCTACACAGGAAAATCTTGTCCCTCACCCTCCCAAAAGTTCACTTTTAACATGTGTTTTATCATGCTTCATTCACACTCAGCCCTCCCCAACCCCGTGACCATCCCTTGTTCCCACGCCTCTGAAACTTTCACCCCCCATCCTTCCTGACCACACCCTTCTGCCATCCTATTCTTGTTATGCTGATAGTCCTCCCCACGCGCCACAGCAGGTGGCCACTGCCCAGATCTTCATCCTTGGTCCATTTCCTCCCAACCCAAGGAAACAGAAGAAAAAACATAAATAGTGAAGGTAACTTTGTAATTACTACTACATTCTTGTCAAAACAAAACTCAAAGCCAGATCGCCTATGACCAAATACCTGAAACAAAATATATGAAGACATGGTGTCTCTCAACCCTTTGGAATTCTCAGCTGCTGAACTTGGGAGCATCTGGTTATTGACACAAACATGCCCCCTTCTGGTAAACTAAGTAATGACACTTTCCTTCTCACATTCCAGTCAGTCCCTAGATTCTCTGCGGCAGTTTCACGCAACATTCTCTTGCCTGTTCCATACCACCCACACCTGCCATTGCGTTCCCTTTACGTCATTCCCAGAGAACGTTTAACATAGCTACGTCCTCCAGGATCCAGGAAATGCGATGGCAAAGGGCTCCAAGAGTCTTTCCAGTTGCTTTCAGTTATGCAAACTGAACTACACCTTGAAAGAATGAGCTTCGGAAGAAGACGGAGAGGCTCGAGGCAGAGAGTATGGGGACGGGAAACCAAGGCAATTGGGGAAGGCATCTGGATCAAAGCAAGACAGTTGGCGGGAAGGCAAGATGGGAAGGCAGGAGGAGAGACAGGATCGGCACAATGGGCTAGAGAAGACCACAAAGCCATCAGAATTGGGCATAAAACCAGAAGAGATGACAGCAACAGAAGGTGTGGGCATATGTTTTATTCTTGTGCACAAACCAAAGAATTGTGGCGCCCATTATTGGAAAGGAAAAGATCAATTTCGATGTCAAATGGCAGGCATGGCTGGTGGTGGTCTTCATGGAAGGAGAGTCCTTACCCTTCTAGGACCAGAAATTAGGACCTGAAGCTGAACAGGAACAAAAGCTGGGCTTCTGCGGGTAGGGTAGGCCAAAACAGGAGGTTTGGGCCCAGTGTCTCCCTGCCTTTCCCAGATAGTCAGGATAAGCTGCAGCCATGGAAGGTCAGATTCACAGGAGGCAGCACAGTCACCAGCTCTAACATTCGGCACACACCTCACACCGTTGCTCTGGCAAATGCTTGCGTTCTCCTGAGCTCAGTCTGTCCCCCTATGCTCCCTTACACATAGCTGGTCTCCCTCTTGGTCACGTCACTCATTTCAACCCTGCTCCTGGCTTTTGCCTCACTCTCCCCATGCACTCTCTCTCGTTCACCTCCTTTCTGTCTTCAGTGGTTCGGAAGAAAAGCTCTACTTCCTGGATACTAACTTGCTCAGCACAAGACCCTGGTTGCTAACTTCCTGAACTCCAAAGAAATAGAATTCTTAGTTTTATTCCAGGTCTACCTTGTATAACTCAGACCCATGAAACTTGTCAGACTCGTTAACATCACAGTGCTGTGTCCCTGCTACAGACAGCCCTCTCGCAGGAGGAGTTTTTCTGCAGTTGAGCTCTTGTCCCCTACAAGACTCCCTGTGGAGCTTTATCTGGCCCTTCTAGTAGAAGGAAAAGAACTCCCCTCCTATCTTTGCCTCAAGAGAAGCTCACATATATGGTTAATTCACGCCTTTCCAGAGCAGACCTTAGCCACACACATTTGCAAAAGCATGAGCACACACAAGTGTGCACGCACACACACACACAGAAACACACACATACACACATGCGCGGAGTAAGGAGTGTGGAGGGGCTTAGGACACAGTTCAGTCCCCTAGTTGCTTGCCTCGTGGTGAGCTTTTTGCCTGAGATCTCAATGGTCATTTTACAGTGCTCTTTTTGCCTAACACTAAAGTGCTGCCCACAGAGAGAAACACAAATGAGGAGGGAGGGAGAGAGACCTGCTGAGACCTCTGGGTGGAGAAGCCAGAGATCGAGGCAGGGAAATATAGAGAAGATACCAAATCAAAGATAATAGGTTAAAAAGCAGCAGCACAGAGTTGAGAAACTGAAGGGGAACACTATCTCTGGCAAGAGGCGATGAAGGGAGAAAAAGCCGGTAGGACAAAGCAGAAGAAATTTCTGGGACTCTTTCCATTACTTGGTCCTGGGACCTCTTCCCTGCTCACTGATGCCCTGCTCCAGGCCTCCACACATGAGCCTGCAACCCTGTTCTGGTGACTGAGAACCGGGGCCTAGCTACTTGGAAACCACAGGAGCTGGGGGTGGCAGCAAAGCTCCTGGGAGACTCTTGAGGATGGTCTGGGTTAGTGACAGGGGGTGAGGCCAGCTCTGCCCTCCAAATTGGTTCATCCAATGTGGTAGCCGCTCTGGGGGCAAGAACAGTGGGAACCAAGGGTTCTGCAGTGGGTTGGGGTGCCGGAGTGGAAAATCTGCGGATCTCCTGGACTCGGGCAGTTTTGGGAGGCCCTGAAATGGGGCCAGGAGTTGAAGGAACCCCGTCAAAACAGAACATTGCAGTTTTAAGTTGGTATGGCTGATGCCGCATGAAATCCAGGGCCTTGATACCCTGCTTGGGGGTCGCCCGAGGGCCCTGGGATTGCGCCTTATTGGGGGGAGTTCGGGCAGCTTGGGGGAAAAAAGGTGAGAGTAGCGGGTTATAAGCAATAGGGGGTGGGGCACGGATGTTAGGTGAGTATTTCCACGATGGGGGCAGTGAAGGTGTGGGAGAAGGACTTCTAGGGCTAAGGCCAGGATTAAGGCTACCGCCAGGTGTAGTCTCCACCACGTACCTGTCGGCACGGCTCTGCCGCTTGGCAAACAGCTCCCCACCCCTCCCCTGCAGCCTTGGGAGCTCCGGGATTCCAGCCATAGGGGTCGACCCATTTACTAGCCCATCAAGGAGCCCTTGAGATGCGGGTTTAGGAGCCACAGGGGGTGGAGTCTTAGGAGTTGTAGGAGGTGGAGTTTTGGGAGCCATTGGAGGCGGAGTTTTCGGTGGCACTTGAGACAAGGTCTTGTAACTCTTGCCCCCTAGTGGCTGCATGAAGTTACAGGCTTCAGCTCCAAGGCTTAAAGCGTCCTCCTCCGGACCAGATTCCACACCACCGGCCCGAGGTTTTTCATCCAGGTTCTGCACCAGCGATAGCAGCTCGGGGTTGGGCGAGTTCTTCGGCTCTTCCTTTCCAGGTCGGAACATCTGCTTCCGGGTGCCCCGGCGCCGGGCCTCCTGCAGGATGCCAGTGCGGGCAGCTGGCACAGAGATGCGCTGCTCCCGAGAGCTGGCAGACCCGGGGGCCGCGGGGCCAGGCGCCTCAGGGCGCACAGAGCTTCTCAGAGGCGCCGACAAGAAGATGGAAGCGGTGGAAGTCATGGCAGCTGCGCTAGCAGGAGCGGGAGGCTCTGGGGCGCCTCCCGGTGTAACGGGCCGGCTCGGGGCTGGGATGTACAGGGAGCTAGTAGCGGTTACTCCGCAGGAGCGTGGGGTGCTGGGAGCCCCGGAGACGGGCGTGTGGCCAGGCACTCCCGTGATGAAGCTGGGCAGAGGGGTGGGCCCCTGCAGAGGGGCTGTGAAGGGGGACGGGGCGGGGCTGGTGGCTCCCAGGCCTTCATTCACCCTCTTAGGGGCTAAAGGTCTGAAAATCACTGAGGTGGTACCTGACCTTTGTCCTTGTAAACCTGGGGTAAAAGGCCTCGCTGACCTGTTAAAGATATTTGGCGCTGGGCTGGGGGCTCCACCATCCGGGAAGAAGGGGCTAGGGCTGACTGCAGGGGCCGGCAAAGGGCTGAGTGGGAGCATAGCTGCCTCTGGGGGAGCACTCTGAGCTCGAGGTGGTGACTGCAGACCCTGCCCATTTAGCATGGCTGCTGGGCCCACCTGAGCCAAATCCTGGGTGCAGGAAGCTGCGCGTTGGCGCTGCTGTTCAAAGAGCTGGACACCTCGCCCAGAGACCTCGCTCAACTGCCCTCCCAGCCCGGAGCTCTGACTCTCTATTGTTCCTGAGCCAGCCCTGGCCAGCTCCATGTCCAGATAAGGGCTGTCCCAATCGGATTGATTAGTAAGGCTGCGGGCGTCCGAGAAGGCCTCTTCGTCCAGCTCCGACTCACTCGTTGGGGGGAGGCCGTCCTCCTCCTCTGTTCCTGTCCCAGCTGCAGCCCCGAAACTCACTAGGGTGTACTTCTTGGCTCTCTGCCGCCGTTTTTTAAACATAAGCACCCCCTTGGAGTGAGGGTTGGGGGCTGCTGTTAACAGGGATGCAATGGTCCGGCATTTGGTCTTGGCCTCCTTCACGCTCTTCTCCTGGAGGCTCTCTGCCCGCTGCAGTTCTGAAGAGATCAAGAGGGAGAGTAATCAGCTCTATTCTAATTCTGCTCCTCAAAGCTCGGACCGCCTGTTTTTTCCGCTGAAAGGAACCACAATGTCTCTTGCCTGTGGCGAAGTCCTCTGACTTGGAGACAGACTGGAGGGGGAAAGGTGAAACCAAGGACACACACTGCCCACACCATAGCCCTTCTGCCCCCTCTATGGCACTCGTGTTTTCCAGGAAATGAGCCTTATCCACTCCGCGCATTCTTCACCTGCCTCCCATTCCTGACTGGCAGCGGAGTGGGGGAAGTGTTATTCTAAGGCAGGCAGGACCCAGAGAGAAAAGTTAAGAAGGGACACATCTCCCACCATACTATGTAAGTGGATTCCTCACACCTACTACTCCTATAACCAGGACACATAGATTCTTTTTGTCACAGGGCCTCTCTACATGTCCCTTGCTGTCCTGGAACTCGCTGTGTAGACCAAGTTGGCCTCGAACTCACAGAGATCCAGCTATTGCTGCCTTCCAAGTACTGGGATTAAAGGTATGCACCTCTGTGCCCAGACCAACACACAGATTCTTAATGAGTCCCTTCATTCACAATTCACAAGTTGTTCACATCATAAACACTCCTAGAAATAGCTCCCCTCTATCGCGTTAACATCAGTCTCCTGAAAACCAGCTACGGGACATATTTTCTCCATTGAACTTTTCATATTCACAATTGTCCCACAATTGATGAGCATACTCATCAGTTCATATATACGTATACCCTCATACAAACACAGAGTTGCAAACACATCTGTCAAATACATGTTCCAGGTAGGTCTTCACAAAGTTTTTTCCATAGAGGCTCTGGTATAGTGTAGATAGGATTTTAGAACTGACCTTGGCCCTCCTAACTGCTAGAATGCTCCTTTCCATCCAAGTTGCAGGTAAAACCAAAGTGCTGTTCTCCAAGGCAACCCCCTACATCTTTAGGGGATTTCAAGAAATATATTCTTCTTTCTCACAAGTTGGTGTGGGCTCTGGGTAGACAGCTTTGGAGGCCAGAACTGTTTCCTTTCCCATTTGCCCAGCCTTTCAAGTAGAGATTTCAAAAGAGGAGCCTACCGGTAGGTGGGCATGAGAAGATCTGTGTGCTGAGGAACCAGGGCAGGACTTCACATGCCATGTGGCGCCTGAGTAGGTGGGGCCAGGAAGTAGGAAGGGCTGCCCCGCTTTAAGACCCCGCCCTAGACATGGATACTTTCTGGTCTGATCCCCAGTTCCTCCTGGAAAATTCTTGACATTCCATCTACTTTTCCTCTCAAGATACCAAGCTGCTTTATAATTAGGGTCCTCATTCCGTCCCCACGTGTATAACACCGAATAGTATTCTCCATGAGAGAATAGACACAGGAGTCAGACTTTAGTTTTGGGAG